GCAATACATGAGCCCAGTTAAGGTGAGATAGAGGCTCACCTCTCTGTCAAACCTTGTTACGGTGTCTCTGTCTCTGAGGCTATGGAGACGACTGGGAAACTCGAGAGAGGCCTCCTTATCCTGAAGGCTCTCACCTTTAGACTGAAATACAAGCCACAGATTATAGAGCAACAATTTCACTCAGATCGTGTGCTGTGTGTGAGAAAAAGAAACTCCATTTACCCTGGCTGCTTTTAGTTTCTCTTCCAAGCGTCGTTTCACAAAGTCATCTAAATGGTGAGTGTGCTGAGTTCTTGAGGTGAGACCTAGAGCACAAAGCACTTGTTTAAGGCTCACTTACACAACATCAACTACCTTCTGTCAAATTTTGATATTAAATGCTGCTTAGATTTGGATACCTGGTGTCTGATTAAGAGTTTCCAGATTTAAATCATACATAATTTTCAGTTCTTTACCCAGGTAAAAGAGTTTTGCTTTTTAAGAATCCTAGGCCATGTGGCAGTCTCCAACCCATATACCGTAGAAAGATTCACTACCATCCTATCATATGCTTTCTCTAGATCCACAAGCAGCAACTTTTGAGCTTCTCTATACATATCTACATTATCAAAGCAAACATAGAATCTGTAGTGCTTTTTCCGTGTATGAAGCTATACTGATGCTCACTGATCACCACCTTCCTTCTTAACCTAGCTTCAACATTTCTTTCCCATAGTTCCATGGTAAGGCTTATCAACTATACCCTTTGTACCTACTACAGTTCTGTACATCACCCTTGTTCTTGAAAACTGGTAACAGTACACCTCTTCTTCATTTATCCCTAAAATTGTCTGGCTAAAAAGACAACCACTCTTTCTCCAAGACATCGCCATACCTCCACAGTTATGTGACCTGGGCCAACTAGCTTTCATTCTCTTTATACATGCCCTCACTTCCTTCTATTATTAACTAAGCATTTGTATGATATGATTGCATATTATCAGCTTTTCTCTCACTCAGAGTTTGTACTGTTAGTTGTTTGAGGTCTCTCTACTCTCCCTTTTTTTCCCCTCCTCTTTCACTGCACCTCCCAAGTGACAGATGGTGGCTTCGTCCAAAGGTTTCTTCCTATTAAAAAGGTGTTCTTCTCTACCAACGTCACTGAGTTCTCACTCACAGTTAAAAATGTTTGGGCTCTCTCAAACAATGTAGTGTCTTTACCTTGCAAAATAAAGTATCTTGAAGTGGTTGTTGCTGTGAATCAATACTATATAAATAAAGTGAACTGAACTGATCTCTAATAGCACTTTTTAATTGCCTCTAGACTATGCAAAGCTAAGCTGCAAAGTTTTTAACCAAACCTAAATCAAGGTATCACATCACACCAATTTAGGCTTTTTACAATGACTCAAAGTATGTTTTACAGTGATTTTGCCTTCTAATCCCTTTAAGAATTTTTGTAACTTCCCCTAAATTCTTCTGTTCTCTACATGACACTTTAATTTTATGATTTTATGACTTGTAGGTTTTATTTTTGTATTAAATAAAAAAATACAAGTTTTCTATATTTGTATGAAACGTCTACTACATATAAAGATGATCATTATTATGGTCTTATAGCCTGGGGAAAAAAACAAACAGTTGAGTACTGTTTTGTGTTGTTACCAGATCACTCATTACTTGTATGATGAAGGAGTAGAGGTACATTTGATTAAGACATAAACACAGACCTTTCTGAGAACCAGTGCGAGATTTTGATAAAACCACTGAATCGTCCGCTTTCTCAGATGGTCCCTCATCTGCACTGTACTGCTGGATGGAAGTGACATCCTTGACATCATCAGCATCACGGGACTTCTGGATGGAAGACTGTTCAAGCAGCTAATAAAAGCCAGAAGCAATCAAAACTGTTAGAATTTTTAACCGTGCCATTAGTGGAATCACAGAAATGAGGTGGATACCAAAAGATTTACCCTTTTCTTTCTCTTCTGTCTCTCAGCTCTTAAATGGCGTTTCAAAGCCTCTCTTTCATCTTCTTCACCGTCTTCAGGCGCCTGGCATACACAAAGATACACTTTACATGGATAGCAGAAAAATGAAAACTTGCATCCAAGCTGGTATTTAGCGCACTAAAGCCGGAAGAAAGGCTGAAGAAGGTAAGAAGTTGGTGTTCAGCAGCCAGCAGGAATGAGCAGCTAAAACCTAGTTAAGGGCACCAACCTCCATTGTAGTTCGTGGGTCCTCTTCACTCAGTTTGATAGAAGGAACCAGAGCCTATCGAGTACAGTTAGATTTACTAAAGCGTTACAAGCTCCCTTATCTGTGCTCCTGTGTGCATTTCTGATGTTGAGTGTGTTCAAAATGAGCCTGGCTCCTCCGGTCATGTTGTGTCTTGTCAGGAAAGAATGACGCTCGCTCATTTAATGCTGGCGGAACTTGACATGGTAGCTGTCACTTCACAGTAAAAATAAATAAATAAAAATATAACCAAGTTTTCAAAGCCTGTGACTTTACCTGGACGTCGTCCTCATTTTTCTTCTTAACTAGAGTTTCTTGGAAAGCCCGTCGTTTCTTATGCAGTTTTTCTCGTATGTCACTGCAACAGAAACAGAAATGAAATTGTTTTAAAACAGAAACAAATTAGCTTAGCTTAGCATCTCACAGGCGTATTATTTATGGTTGAGAGCAAAGAGAGAAGCGTTACCTTTTGGAAGCCAGATTTGCGATGCTTTTTCTCAACAATAGTAAACGGTTTGAAATAAAAACCACTACTTTACTGCAGCTAGATATCCATAAGCACCTTTCCCGCAATTATTAGATATTTAACATTAAGCAAACAAATTCCGTTATCGCTGCCTAGTAACGGTATAAACTACTTCTCAACCTACCTTGGAAGACGACCGATGCAACCTAAACTTATAAGCAGTTTTGGATTTCATTCGTCTAGTTGACTGTCAATCAAACAGCTTAGTGACGCGTGAACTCGCGTAGTACGGAGTCCGAGAAGGTACAGATCCGGTTTTTTTGTTTTGCACCGTGCACATTTAGGATGCCGGGTACAGCGAAACTAATTAAAAAAGAGGTAAAAGAAAATGAAATTAAGTGGGTTTTTTCTAAACATTTTGCCATAAAAATGTCAAATGTATGAACAAATAATATCACAATATAACACTATCTTATCTAGTGTGAAAAACAAAACTGTACTAAGTTTGTTATTGTCTATTTTTTCAATTGCTTTATTTTTGTGTTGGGATTTTCTTACTATTATTTATTGTGTTGTTGGGTTTTTAACATTTTTTGGTTTCTGGTCGATAATGATTGTCATTACAATACTAGGGAATTTGTATATCAGTAAATTTAATTTCTGCTAAAGTGGACCTGTGATGCTTATTTTCTTACCCTTCCTAATAAAGAAAGAAAGCTTACAGCCATCTGAACAGGAGTCTATGCATTTCTACTATGAAAAACTAAGTACAGTTGTTGATTTATTGATTAACTGATCACCAGCAAGTTTGAGCACCTCTATTAAAGCAGATGTTTTAGCAGTTTGCTGGTCTGGAGCATTCAGGTGTGTGTTAACACAACGCTTCTCAGGTCTACTCGGGACTGGACATCCCAGCAAATTCACCATAAGGTCAGACCTTGAAATTCTCAGAGAAATGGGAAAAAACCCCCACTCCATCCAGCTGGTTTGAGAGATTAGGGAACACTGATCTCAAAAGACATAAACATAGAACACAACAAACACAAAAACTGGGTTGAAGACTCAGGACCATGACAGAACAAGTATGGATTTTATGTGGAAGGGGAAAGCCAGGAGAAACCTCTACTCTCTAAAAAAAAGTTGGCAGCATGGTTTACGTTTGCATGTTGGCAAGACTTTTGGTACAATTTTAGTTGGACAGATGAGCCCAAAGTGAAGATGTTTGGTCAAAATACACAGAACTATGTTTGGCAAAAAAATCAACACTACACCTCATACCCCTTTGGCTTGTCTGATCACTGTAGTCACCAAGTGGACCATGAATTCTTCTGTACTATAGAGTCAAATGTAATACCATCAAGAGCTAAAGCTAGCCCAGTGGCCCAGTCAAAGTCCAGGCATCAACCCCACTGAAATGCTGTTGCATGACCCTAGGAGAGCTGTGCATGTACAAACCTCAATCAACTGAAGTCACATTGTAAAGAAATGTGGGGAAGAATTCCTCCAATATGAGAAACTGATAAAAACAGAGAAAATAATTGCTTCAAGTTGTTGCTGCTAAAGAATGATCCAATAGCTGCTGAATCATAGAGTATGCTTTTCAGAAGAGTCCTGTGACAACATCTTCACATGACAAAATATATACTGTTACAAAGCCAGATGTTCCTATTAAACATGGTCAAAGTTTCAAATAATAAGGTCAGTGTACAAGCAGTTCCTGTGAGCCAAAAGTTTAGACTTCCTCAGTTTACAAGGAACAGCCATTCAGAACAAAGTTTTCTTAAACAGAGGGAGAGGGAGTATAATTCAAGCAAAAGTATTATTCAGCAGGAAATTTGCATAACAGTTCCTCCTCCACATAAGCTGTCTAAACTTCACACACAGACACAACCAATTGGCTTAAAGCTCTAAGATTTTGCTATACATGCTAAGGGATCTCGGCTTGCTGAGGAAATAAAGCCTGCTCATCCCTGTCTTGTATGCAGCCTCTGTTTTGGTCTTTCAGTTTGGCCTGCTGTTGCTGTGGACGCCCAGGTATTTGTCACTCCTCCAACATCCCATCCCAGGATAGCCATCGGGCAGTTGCTGCCCTTTTTCTTCTGAAGTTGACGACCATCTCGCTGATCTTACGCTTTGTTCATATTTTCAGCTAGCTTAAGTAAAAAAACAAAAAAACCCAAAAACCAATACAAACTCTGGTACACAACTTTATCTTTGATTTTTTTTATTTCAGTATCTTATTTATTTGTTCACATGATTGTTTCTTCTTTTTTTTTGTTTGGCTTTAGGGGCCAGGATATAGTTTTAGTTGGTTTTCGTTGCTATCTGAGGTAGCCAGGATTGCACCATCATTTCCACCACGTCAGAATGGTCTCTACGTTTCATATTATGTTTTTTTTGTGTTAATATTTCTTGCACTAAATAAAGCAAAGGAGGAAGTTCTTCTCTGCAGCTGTTGTTTTTGGAAATATCACCAATAACAAACACATGGCTGGCCTGTTTTCACTTTTCAGCTTTCTATTGTCCAATAACTTTGTCTCACACATGTTTCAGTTTTACTTCTTTTTGCAAATGGAAACATGTAAACCATTATTACATTTCAACAATGTTTATTTGATTCCAATTAAATCATGAACATATAAAGACTTTATCAAATAATATACTTTTAAAACAATAGATAAGTCTCCATTCTAATAATATAACTAGCAATACAAATATTGGTATAAAAATATAGTCTTTATATGTGTGTGTGTGTGACAGTGAATAGGAGCTTGTAGTTTTCTCTCTTGAGTTTTTCAGGCTCTATGCGTAGTCATCTGCTAGTGTGTCAAAGTAGTTGCTGTCTGCATAGATAAGGAAGCCAGAGAAGAGGCTGTCAGCCCAGCCAGCATCTGCAAATAAACCGTTCTGGTCATGGTAGAAGATTTCCATCCACACCTCGTCTTCTGGATTCAGGTACATGACGGTGGACCCAGATGCCACGTCATGGTTTCCTGTATTGGCATCAAAAGTTTTGATGCGATACTGACCATTCTGCACCAGACCGATAGCCAGGTGTTTGTTGGCCAGTGTAATGTCATAGGAGAAATAATAAATGCCTGGGTATGCACAGATGAACTTGCCCGTCTGTGGGTTGTAGTGTCCGCCTTCATCGAAGAGGATCTTGTTGAACTTAATGGGGGTTTTCTCTGCAGGGTAGCTGCTGGTGATTCCCGCAGAGAAAGCAGATTTAGGCATGAGGCTGCCACATTTGCAGGTTCCCGCAGTGCCCCGCGGTCCTCGTTTGCCCTTTTCCCCTTTCTCCCCGTCGGGTCCTGGAGGTCCAAGCAAGCCACCATCTCCGTTCTCTCCCGTAGGGCCTCGTTTGCCTGGAGGGCCGCGGTCACCTCGTTCTCCAAGTTTACCTGTCGGGCCTACCCTGCCCTTCACTCCTGAAAGCAAAACACAATGCTTGCAACATCAGTCTCTAATTGAAGGATTCAGTTTTACTACTGTTAAACCAGAAACACAGCTCCCCAGTCATTGTCAGGGATTAAGTCAACCTTTGAACAAAGCCACTTGACATTCAAACTGGCTTGATTAACCCGTCGGTGCATTCAGTCAGCACCACTGTCGCAGTAAATACCCTGGAGACAGGCAACATTGTGATTGTGATTGTTTTTTTTCTGCAGGGCTTTTCTTAATAAGTGGCTCCATGTTCAGTTGAAAGTGAATTCCTGTTTCCAGGCATAATGGAAAACACAGGTGAATGACGTTTATTTATCCCTGACAGATTTATGGCATTTCAGACTTCACAGGCTGATATTAGGATAATATTTCTGTTGGATGAGGCTAACAGGTACAGCCCTTCCAAATATTTTGTAATAACATTATGGAAGATTTTCCTATGCTAAAACTGTACTTTCTGAACAATCTGAAGAAGTTTAAGCTAATCTGCCTGTAGAAAACCATGGGAAAGTTCAGATATACCCAGCTTATAGAGTATAAGCAAATTTGTTAGCATTACTGTGATGCAAAACCTAAAGTTTACTGCAATATATCTACACATTCACACACCTAAACCCACAAGGATGCTTTCTAACAGAAGCAGCTGGAGATTGCATATGACTACCAAGGCTGCATACTGCTACCAAGGAATTTACTCAACACCGTGCATGAACCAGGATACATCAGGATTAGTTTGTGATATTTTGTTGAGAACACCAAGACCGTGTTACACAGTTTTTCGTACTTCAAATTGTTGTGTGTTTGTGAATAAATTCAGATCTAGTACCAGCAAGTCCTTTGCTCCAAATTCCTGGATGCAGATCTACGTATTAATCAGTTACGAGTGGTGTAGCCAAACCACATCACTGGTAAAAGTTTTGTGCAAATCCATCCATAATTTTGTAATCCAAATAGAGGGAAAGAAAAAAACCCGATCCAATCACATAACCTTCTTGGCAGGAATAATAACAAAGAATGCCCAGGGTAATATGGTTAGTGCAGCAGTTATGCCTCTGAATTTCATCACAGTCAAACAATCAATATGTGGTTGAAGTGAAGACTTGTTCATGATAAATGAAGGAGAGATGATATCTGAAGATGATTCAAAGTGTTGCATTTGTACCTTACAGCTTTTTTGTGTAAACTTGTGCAGGGTTTGTGCTCTTGGGTAAGATGGCGCCGATGTGTATGGCTCGCCGTCTGTTCCTCCACGTTTCTGTTTTAATGTTTTTATTTTGTTATGATGTCGACTCCCTGCTGGTCTATGATCGCCAAGTTTTACTTGATCTGTTTTTAAATCACCTCTTAAAACACATTTATTTACCTTGGCTTTTAGCACAGCAGGACTTGTTGATGTCTCTTAATATGTTTCTTATTAATTATATTATTTTTAATTTTAAGATATTTTATATGTAATTTAAACTGTTTCCTCTCTGTTTTATATTTGTAGCACTTTGATCAACATTGTTGGATGTAAAGTGCGTTATAAATAAAGATGCTATGCTATGCTATGCTATCTGATGTGTGCGAGGACGTGAGTTCTAGACTTAAGGCATGACTTTATAAGTATTAAAAACAATCCTTACATTTGAATTTTTTAAAATTATGTTAGTTTGTGCAATTACTTTTGAGCCTCTGACAATGAGAAGTGTGTTTAAAAATGAATAGTCAATGCAAAATAATCACTTTGCCTCTTGAATTACAGCTAAAGATTGCAGGATTGCAGGGTTTCAATAGTTCTGTGTCTTTGATCATGTAGTGACTGTTTAATTTAAAATTCACTGTAATGGAGGCAAAACTAAAAGAAGGATGTCTGAAACAGCACAGTAAGGAGAACAAACACCAGAACTTTTCACTAAAGAAAATCCTTTTACAAATCTGTCTTTCTCATCCACTCAAAGCTACTTCTATCCTCTTCATCTAGCACAGATTTACCTTTGGCCTTTAAGGATGGGTAGTCATTGTCAACTTTGTGGCTCCATGTTCAGTTGAAAGTGAATTCCTGTTTCCAGGCATAATGGAAAACACAGGTGAATGACGTTTATTTATCCCTGACAGATTTATGGCATTTCAGACTTCACAGGCTGATATTAGGATACTATTTCTGTTGGATGAGGCTAACAGGTACAGCCCTTCCAAATATTTTGTAATAACATTATGGAAGATTTTTGCAACACATGCAGCATCTGCTTTAAAATAATCAAACTGTTTACACCCAGGATTTGCCATCTCAAGCTAGTTTAAAAACTATAAAGCTAATTCGAAAATGAGTCTGAGCGACATAAACCACCATTCTAAGGACAGACACATTACAAGCACTAATTAAATGTATTGCATGTGTGCATTTTTCTTTCTCAATCATAAGCTGGCTCCCTAAAATGGTCCTCAGAACCTGTGGCAGTAACTGTACTTGATACACTTTATGGCAAAGGTGCACCTTTTTCTTGTTTTTTATTACAATAAATGTTGGCATTTCACACACAGTGCTGTCTGTAATGATCAGATTGAGGGAGTTGGAGACCTGATGTGTGTTTACATTGACTTCCCCTTTATTGTTAAGCCTCCAGTCCTGTAGGAGAGATCATTTAATAACTTTCACACACATCATTTTATCTTTTCTATGCGCCAGCTTTTTACTTCACGCACACACTGGCAGTATTTCTTTATCAGCAGACATAAAGTAATACTGTATCTGTTTCATATTATACCTGTGTCACCCTTTTCTCCTTTTTCACCTTTCCTGCCATCTCTGCCATCTCTTCCTGGGATACCCACATTCCCATCTGCTCCCGGGGGCCCGCTGGGACCTGGTTTGCCAGGCAGTCCGGGTGACCCAGGAACACTGCAGATCAGTCGTGGGGCTTTGAGCTTGGTGTCAAACAACTCTCCCGAGACACAGGGCCACAGACAGACAAATCCCATCAAGGTCCACATCTTCAAACCTGTATATACAGCCAAAAGAGAACATTAATATAGATGTTTGTGTCTCCACGTTAACTCACAAAGTTCCGAGCAACTCTCAAGTTAGTTTTGTGTTTGCAGATGTTTGGGCAAAGGAGGCAGATAACGAACAATAATGAATCAGTGAGTCCAGACACTTAGCGGTCCTATTATATTGATCAGTGCCATTAAACACTCAAAACGTTCTTGTCAGGGTGTCAGACAGAGAAACTGCATATCAGTGAATCAAACTTGTGATCAAATGCAGCATGAGGCCAGATGTGATTTTTGTAATGAGAAGCAATTGCTTCTGATTCCTTTTCACACGCCGATGTTCTCATCCTGCCACAGATTTGCATGTAATAGACTTCAAGCGAAATCTTTGTGTCTGCTCCAAGTCTTGTCTCTTTTTGTGCCAAAACATTCCCGAGCCATGACATAACACCCAGAACAATTTCTGTCAGGGGAACGCGATCATGAAGCAATGGCGTTATACATTCATGTAAGAGAGAAAAGAAGGAGACATGATCACACCTCTATTTCTGTAACAGAACCTAAAGCAGGCATTAAAAGCAAAAACACTTAATGGTGATTCTGCATCCTGATGTTCAACATCAAACATTCCACAGCAAAGAAATCATATGGAAACATACCGAAAATGTCTTCCGCTGTGTGAAAATCTTTTGGATTCACAGATTTGATTATTACACACACACACACACACAGATTTGCCCATGTGGGCGTGAGAATGTGAGTTTTGCATCTGCTGCTTGTCTCTGGTCAGCGGGGGCGTTGGAACATATGTGTCAGGTCTACAAAGAAGGATAATCCCCTTGTCTGCCTTTTCAAAAAATTTATTACGGCATGTTTTTCTTTGCCTTTACACATTTGGTTTGTCTGTCAGTGCACCATGCAAGCACATTAGACAAATTAGGTGCATACTACATGATGAGCTAAACAGGAAGGAGACACCACACATACACGCAGGCTGCTCTCCTCCTTCTTGTAAGAGTAGTATGTTTTTGATTTTGAGGGTAATGAACTGGCCACAGAGCCAATGTGAGGTCCTGGGAGAGAGAAACCCCGCCCGCCATCTCCAGTCTGCAGCAATGATGTCAGCATTAGTAAAAACGCTGTCTTTAAAGAAGTGGACAACTGTTTACACACACAGCTGTGTTGTGCATGCAAACACATCCAAACACAGATAAACGCAGTCCTTCTAAGCCGCATTAGTAATATGCGTTATTTAAAAGCTCCTGCTGCATAGCGCTCCCTAAGAGATGTTTATTTACTATGAAGATCTAAAAAAGCTCTTTTCATTCATTTGATCTTCTTGTAAACATGTAGAGCGAGGCAGACTTTGCACCCAAAAAAAAAAAAAAAATCCTTTACTGAAAATAAAGGTTTTCATCCACTTTGACCGACAGCTACTAAAGTGTTTCTGATGTCAGAAATAGATGCATGTGAAACAAACACCAGACATTTTAGACATGTAACTTCTTTTCATTGCATTATTGCACTGCAATGCAATCTGACTATACAAGCTTAGAAAACACGTGTGGGTAGAAGTACTCAGTTTTGAGCAGAAAGTTTTCATCACTTTTATAAATATTCTGAACGAACAACGTCTTGTGATAATAAACCAGTAGACAGAGACATTTAATCCATGTTCTTACCCAACACTTGGCAGCTGTTCATCCCCAAACCAGGTCAAACTTCTCACTCTTGAGTGTCTCCGTCCTCCTATCCGCTCAGATTCTCATCTTTCACAAGATTCGAGTCCCCGTTGAACATGTTACTGTCAGACATCTATGTGCAGAGATCAGCTGCTTGTGCGGTACAGCAGCACAAGCAGCAGCCAGGACTCCTTTCAGTGCAACTCTCTCTCCATCCCTCCCTCTTTCCCCTTTATCCACTCCCTTCTTTCTGCCTCATAAATGTCCTAAGGCAAACAGCCATTAGCCAGGCAAGCCCAGTATGTGCATACAGAAAAAACTCCATTATGTCATTGATGAAGACTCTTTTAGAGTGAGACTCCCAGTGTAAAAGTCAGAAACTGGAATCTTCTAGATTAATAAATGACAGAACTCATTTGTGTCTAGTTGACCTCGGTTTTAATTGTATTTCTGACATTTACCCCTAGATGGCACCAAGCACGACATGTGATTGTGTTGACGGACCTCTGGGATTATTTCTTTGTCACATTGCAGTGTTGAAGGCAATTTGCTTTACAGGTGGTAATCCTGATAAATACATACATCATACAAATAACAATATAAGATCAAAAATAAAATGCAAAAATAAGACTATCAAGCCAGAAAATCAAGAACTGACTCAATAAGAAATCTTTCAAATGTTTCTAAGAAAATCTTTTGCCCTCATTACTGTTATTATGTAGGTTTTAAAAAGTGTTGTAAAGAATGTCTGAGAGCAGCTGGTTTGTAGACCTCAGTGCTCTGGTAGGATTGCAGGGTTTCAATAGTTCTGTGATGATGTTTTGTGAAATATTTAGAAGCACTTATCTAACTATGTTCCCTTTCAGTCGATTCACTCGGTACAACACGTATAATATGGGATATCACGTCCCCATGTGTCCTGGCACCTGTATTTACACCTTTGAGGCATATGACCTGTGATGACATGTGCACATGCTCCCTTCCCTTGTTAAAGCTGTCTCACTCATTTTCTGTCACTAAGAGCCACCCTTGTTCCCTGGTGAAGGAATGGAGGGTGCACCCTGTGGGGTGATTCCAGGTATGGGATCTTCTTTTCTTCAGGGTCAACACTTACTGCCTTATATTGGTGCTGGAGGCCCTTTGTGGGCCATTTTGAACCCACTAGATCTGTGGATATGAGGTTTATTTTATACAAGACTGCATTGCTTCTTGCTTTGGCTTGTGTAAAGGAAGTGGGTGACCTTATATTAAATTTTTATCTATATGGTACCAAATCACCTTCATGACTTATTTGTACATCCCTTATGCATACAGTTCTCTTCTAAGGGTCTCAGGGTTGTATTGCACCCAAATGGCACATATTTACCAAAAGGTTATTTCTGCAGCTTGTACCTTTATGTAATTTGAGCTTCTGAGGTGGCATTCTCTGGGTCTGGTGTGTTTGTGCTACATACCTATATTGACTGCGCTCAGGATGTGTGCTTATGTGACCAGTCGCTCTCTGTTTTGCTATCCAGCTAGAAGTAGAGCTCTGTCTAAACAAAGGCTCTCCCACTTGTTAATGGAAGCTATCTCCCTAGTGTAGGACACCAAATGTCTCTCTTTGCCTCAGGGAGTAGGAACACATTCCACCAGTGGAATGGCAACTTCATGGGCGCTTTTTAAAGGGTTCCCTGTGAGTGTGCTATTTGTACTGCAGCTAGCTTATCATCACCACACACTTGTTTGGTTTTATTGTTGGGATGTTACAGCCCATTCAGTGGTTTATTCTGTCCTTTCTGCTGGTTCTACCATGTGGTGCTGGTCTGATTCCATGTATATATGTCCCATGCTATATGTGTTGCACCATGTTAATCGATTGAAAGGAGACCAACAGTTGTGCCTATAATTTTGGTTCCCTGAAGGAGTTTGGCACGGTGATGAGCAGCTATCAAACTGAGGAATGACTGATGACGGGGGTATATGTGTAGGCAGGGCCACATACGTTATTGCAAGTCATCTGCCTTAAAGGCATGAATATGTTCAGCCAGAACATGCAGGGGTGTGATATTCCATACTATGTGTTGTACCTTCTTCATCTCCTTTGATGAACAGAAGATATAACTGTTCATTTGCTTTGTCTGTAACTGTACTTAGACCCTTTCTAAGATGTCTTTGCTCCAGATTTAGTGAGTGAAATATTTATTAATATGAATTAGCAGGCCTCATTGTCAATAGATATACCATGCTAGCAAAGCTAAACATTCAATAATGACTTAGCATTCCACCCTCTCAGCCAACTCCCCCCCCCCCCAAAAACCCCCTCCAAAACACTAAAATGCTAAAAATACGACTTTCAACCTGAAGTTAACAAAAAGAGGCGACACTTTGGTGATAAATTCCAACTTCAGTATAGTCAGTGTTTTCGCTAATTAGCAAATGCTAATCTGCTAGCACGACAAGCTAAAATAGCCAATAGTTATTGGATATGATTGCTTTTTAACCTTTAATCTCTAACTATAGTCTTTTCACTTGCAATAACACACTGGATACTACATGTCATTATGTATTTGAACGAGTTAAAGTATAAAAAGTGTCTGCAAGAGCCAGATATCCAGCAAACTCATGTCCAAACAGAATGGGTCTTTATTCAGGAAGTGAAAGAAAGAAAAAGAGATTGTAATCAACACCCCATTTAAATACAAAAACCAAAATAAAAATAAACATGATATTCATTTTGCATATCAAAGAACCATTCAGTAATAATTACAATCCAAACATCTCATAAACGACTTTTGTGAAGCTATACACACAAACTCTGATTTAGAAATTAGTCACTTTAACAATAAAATTACAAATATTTAGCTTTAAAAATAATTAAACTCAAAATAATATTTTAGCAATTAGCATCTTTAAATTATATATAGTGTTTTTCACATAAAAATACAAAATAATACCAATGACATTTAAATATGAAAAATTATTCCAAGAACCTGCTACTATCAAATAAAAGAAAATGTGGGAAAAAACAAGATGAAAAGAAATAGAAATATGCATGAAAAAGTCTCTCCTTTTGTTAGCAAAACACTATCCAAAATAACTACAATCATTTACATCAGTACAAAGATATCTGGATTTAAAAATACTTGCAATGAAAAAACGGGGTATCTTTTTCTGACAGTAAAAAATGACACTGTGGATCAGAAATTTGCAAAATATGCAATGAAAAAAATAAATCTGCATTAAAAAGGTTTACACTGTAGTTCTTACTTTTATACAAACATTAGAAACAGTATTGCACATCACAACACAGATTCGAGGTTAGTCAGCCTTTCAAAATGTGTTATATTCAAGTTTCAGAGCATCTACGAGGACAGGCAGCTGGGGCCTCGATGCAACAGGGGAGAATCTCAAGTGTCTTCCCAGAATATAATAAAACCTTCATGTTTCCTTCCATTAAATCAAACGTGTCATGTGTATCAAAATAAGAATCAGCTGTATATCAAAAACTTTGATGTTACTAATGATGTGATTCTTTGTCAACCAAAACTTTTGGACATAATTAGGGGTAAATAAATCGAAATATCAGTCCTATTTAAATAGAAAAATACAATCAAAATCAACTCATTTTTTCGTCTACAAAAATAGTGAAATAAATATGATTTTTACAAAAGCAAGGACACATACAGAACCAAGTAACAGTGTTTAACATAGAAAATAGAAGCTCACAAAAACAGCACGAGTCAAGTGTTACAGGTGACGATATTCAAACATTATCAGACGCCATGAGAACCAAAGCCACGAAAAGGAAGAGGGGCCAGAGCGGGAGCCCGGTCTTTAGCTTTCACCTCCCATCAGGTTGCAGGCCGCGACGCCTTTCCGACTCCCGCTCCTCGTAACACCCGGACCATTTTAGAATATATTAGAAAACATTTGCTTTTTGCTCTACTCACACAAAACATAGCTAACTTAAGACCACTGCTCCACGCTACACTTTAAATAAGTCATTATGGGGAAAAAATATGATAAATTCTACCTATAAATAGGTGAAAACTTTCATAATTCGCTTCTAAACACAAGGGGTGAAGGAGACGGAAAACGAGCAGGGATACAGAAAAGTAGTGCATAATGTATATTATATATTAAAAAAAAAGAAAACAACATATTGAAGGGCCAGTGATGAGTAAATTGTTCACACAAACAATTTCAATTACACAACTCAACTAGTCTCAGTTCCATTAAGGTTTTGTAACAGTACACAGTTGACGCCTGAACACTGATACCGAGGAGCACACACACAGGGGCATGAGACACTAAAACCACGACAACACGAGAGCGACACACTTGTACAGTACCAAACAGACGGCTGGGCGACCGTCCTCACAAAAAAGATTGTCCCTAAAGAGTTTTTCAAGGGTCGAGGAGGAAATTAAACAAACAATAAAAAGAAAAAGATCATCTTTAGCGAAGACCACGCGTCACTGTCTTCATCGTGGACAAGTGTGGTGAGGAGATGTGGAGATGCTTCATCTTCTGGTAACTGCGCCAGTGTTTCCTTGGATTTATGGAGCTGCAGCCACACAGCATGGAAGCCTGACTGTTACATTACAAAATAAGCAGTTTAGTGTGTTTGAACAGTGCTCAATAACACGGAGCACGCCAAACTGACAAAGTCTTTCATTTGCGTCTGGTCTGCCGGTGAAGCTACACCAGATTAGCCTTTGGAACCACACAAAGATATGGATAGGAAGAGTGAAGGTGGAGTCATTCTTCTCTACGAAATCTGTTGATAGCTAAACTAGAGCCTCAGTCTACACTAACAACAGTCACACAGCACATGGACGACACACAAACACAAACCACTGAACACCACTCTGCTTCTCAATGGCATTTTTTTGTTGTTTTTTTTTTGCTATACAAGCCACCACGTGACAACGTGATGGCATCCACTAAGTCTACAGTAGAACCAATATCACTTTTTGTATTGTTAGTATGTAAACAGATCAAACAACAGAGAAACATCAAAGCATGCAAGTTTAAATATGTTTTTTTAACTCATTTATCTTAGTCTGATTTTTTTTTCCCTCTTAGGCATTTGTACTTGATGATCATGCTACTCATTATAGAATTGTTACGTCTTGTCTGCATTTATTATTTCAGTGGTTTGTTTTTTCCTGACATATATCCAGCATGCTATTTGTGTAGCTAAGCCTACTGTCATTATATGCA